GTTGTTCCTACAAATTTACTTACCCATAAACAATATATAGTTTTATCTTAAGCAGTTTTAAACTTCACATAGATGGCAGTGTACTGCATGTACCATTCTCCAACTTCCTCTCTTCATTCAACATTAAGTTTTAAAGACTTGAACATATAGATACAGATCTCTCTGATTTATTTTACCTAATGTGCCAAATCCCAGGATGTGAAAATATTATAATTTATCTATTCTATCAAATATTAAAGCTGTTCCTAAGTCTTATGCTCTCAGAGACAATGCAGCATTGAGCATCTTTGTATATTGTCCTTCTGCAGCTGTGTGAGTTTCCTTTTGGATAAATACCTACAATTTAATTTAAATTTACAATTAAATTTAATGCTGATATTAATTGAATATTAAGTTGGTTTGTCGAATGTACTAACTTGTACTTTCATCAGATGGCTATGTGATGGTATATCTTTTTATAATCCTTTCATTATTAGTGCTGTCTAGCAATTTTATGTTTATTGGTGGCCCTCTTTTACATTAAAGTTTTTGGATAGATGATGTATTCATATGTTAAATAATTAAAGCAATATTTAAAAATATATATTGAAAAGCCTTGCTTTTACACTGCCCCATTTACCTGATCCCATCCATATTTTGATAGGGAAAAGTTTTAGATAACTTAATAGATTGAATATTAAGGTAGTTGTAGAAGCAAAATAAGTAATGTGTTCTTTTAAGATTTTCTTTTTCCATAACTCTCCTTGTTTAAGGCGAAGGTAATCTAACTCTTTAACCAGTAACTTTATTAACCTAACAAAGTTGCTATGCCAGGGTGAATTTACAATGTATATGTGCTTGCTATCTCGTGTCTGTAACTTGTAAATAGGAACTGGAATTGTATTTACACATCAAAGACCACTAGGGATGAGATAATGGCTAAAAAGGATATAAAAAGGGAAACACTGAACAAAGGAGTACAGATACTAACCAGACCAGTTTCTGATGTTCCCACCTGCTCATGAGTAGAAATTTTATTATTTTACCCGAATTCTGTGTCTCCGTGTATTTCTGTCCGAGATTTCCTGAACAATTTGATTAGTTTCTTGGATATCCCTTCAGTAATTTTATGACAGAAGATGCAAGCATGAATAAATAGTCTTACTTTCCTTCTTTGTATAATATACTATACAGAATGCTCCTCTCCTTGCCTTTTCTACTTTATCATGAATCCTTCAATCTTTCCTTCACATTGCTTCACTTTCCTTCACATTTCCTACACATTGCTTTTTTATACCTGCATAGTATTCTACTTGGAGATGTAGCACAAATTATTTAACCAGCTTTCTCTTATGGATACTTTACCTTTTTCAACTCCATCATTATTAAGAATAATATTATAGTAAATACCCATGTGTAATACTCAAGTATAATAAATACTTGCTCTGGATCCTCTCTTGGATAAATTCCTAGAAATGGGCCAGAGGGTAAATAGTTTTGTGATTTCGATAGTTATTTTGATCTGTGCTGCCAAATTCACTCCATGGGGTGGAGAAAAGTGGTACCATTTTGCAGTCCCACAGCAATGTATAAGAGTGCTTTTTCCCACACTTTGCTGACAGTCAATTATTTTCTCAAACATTTATCAATCTGATATGGGGGTTTATAAACACAACATTATTTGCATTACTCTCAATTATGGATAAGGTTGAGCATCCTTTCAAACATATAAGGGTTTTCTATATTTCCTTTTTTGCAACCCTATCCCATTCTTCTACTGAGCTGTCTTACTGATTTCTAAGATTCATTTATATATCTGGGGATTTGATCCCTTTGCAGCAAATATTTTCCCCAGGTTTTTTCTTTTGTTCTTGCTTATAGAGTTTTGTATCATTCTGAATTTCTTTTTTCATTTTCAGGTAATCAAACTTCTTAATCTTTTTAGAGGAATCTTCATTTTGAATCATAATTAGAAACCTTTCTCTGGTCTGAAGTTACAAAGAAATTGTTTTGTGTATTAGTCTACTTTTATGGCTTCATATTGAACATTTATTTTGATTCACTTGACATTTATTCTAATATAAGATATGAAATTTATTCCTCCTATGTCTATAAAGTTGTTCCAAAGATATTTTTCATAATGTTCATGTTTATACCAATGATATGAGATTCTGCCTTTATAATGTACTAAATTCCAATATGTGTTTGGCTCAGTTGTGATGTTTTATTCTATTCCATTGACTATCCATTCATCCACAGGTGCGATGGTGTCCTAATTACTGAGATTTTAGGTTTTAATTTAATTTAATTTTTTTCTAATAAAGGATTTTTTTTGGTACCAGGGATCGAACTCAGGACCTTGCACTTGTGAGGCAGGTGGTGAAACCACTGAGCTAAATCCCCAGCCCAGGTTTTAATTTTATAAGTTCCTAGTTTACAAACTTTTAAAATGCCTTTTTAAATTTTGTCAAATTCTTTTGCAGCATCAATGAAGATATCATTTTTCTCCTTATATTTATTGCTACATTAATAGATTTTCTAATAGTGAGTCATCATTGCATTCCTCAAGTAAATTCCACTAAATATCATTCTTTTATTGTAGTGACAGATTGTCATTGCTAATTTTTTATTTAGGATTTTTACACTCATGTTTAGAAGTGCAGTTGTTCTGTAGATTAGCCTATTTGTTTTAATCTCCTCAGATTTTATTAACAAAGTTATACTGAAAAACACAATGTTGTAAATTAACAATTATATATTTAACAGAAGAAGAGATACAACAGAAGACAGGATTAATGAACCTGAAAACTCTGCTATATAAAATACCCAAACTAAAGCACAGAGAGAAATGAAAATAAATGAACAAAAAGCAAAGTCCACATGAGACATAATCAAAAAGTAAACATAGGTGTAACTGGAATCTCAGACATAGAAGAGTGAATGGGTGGAATAAAACAATATTTTAAGAGATATGGACTAAGAATTTTACCCCCAAAATGAGATTATCTTTATGTTCACAAAGCTCAGCAAACCTATGGTCATGCAAATACAAGGAAAACCAACCATAGGCGCATTGTTAAAATGCTGAAAAATAAAGAAAAGAAAACATCGTAAAAGTACTCAGAGAAAAAAGGCACATTACCTTAAAAGTAATGCTAACAATACTGATAGTGAATTTTTCAGGTGAAATTCTAAGAGATAGAAGAGAGTAAAAGGGCATTATTAAAGTGGTCAAAGAGAGCCAGGCACGGGAGTGCACGCCCATAATTCAAGCACTCTGGGAGGCTGAGGCAGGACAACTGTTAAGTTCAAGCCCAGCCTGGGCAATTTAACAAGACCCTGTTCCAAAAACTAAAAAATAAAAAAGGGTTGGGGTTGTAGTTCAGTGTTGTAGTTCATAGTTCAATCCCCAGTGAGAAAAAGACATGCTCAAAGGAAACAATGCTAATTTAGGATCTTTCACTTTTGAAAGTATCCTTAAAAAATGAAGACAAAACAGACATTCTTAGGTTCAAAAATCTGAAAAACTTCCATAGGATTCTTGTTTGGCATTGTTTTCGCCATCGTAGTGAAAATGACATTCAATTATTTTTTCAATTTCCATTGAAAAGTCAAATGTCAATCCAACTGTGAATCCTTTGAAGATAATTTCTTTCTTTCTTTCTTTTGTTTCCTCACTGCTTTCTGGACTTTATCTTTGGTTTCTGTAGTTTCATTATAATATATTTAGGCATGAATTTCTTTTAATTTGTCCTATTTGACTTTCATCAGGCCTTTTGAATTATGAGCTGATATATATTTATTAATTCTAGAAGACTCTTATCCATCATTTCTTGAAATATCATCTTTGCTTCATTATCTTTCTTCCTGAGTTTCCGATTAAACAGTTTTCAACCTTCTCATGCCACCTACCTTGCCTCTTACCCAATCATGTGTATTTTCTATGTATTTTATTTCTTTTATTTCTTCATGTTGCCTTCCATTTCATCATTTTTTCATAAAATTCTCTTATTCAATTTATTCCTTGGGAGATTTTTTCTTTGAAGTTTTTCTTTATTTAATATAAGCGATTTTTTCCTCTAAATCCTACAGTGCTGCTCTTTTCTAATTTTTTGGATCTTTTTTCAGTTTCCTGTTCTCTTGGTATAGCTTTAAGCTCATCTATTTGTTACTATAAGCACTCTAAGTGTAATTGGTATGTGGCCTGTGTCTTAGTCACCAAGGACCCAATCCCTGAGAATCTTCAACTTAACACATGGAGTTTTATTTCTTTGTGTACCTCATTATGTTGAGCTGTGTGCTTTTTAAAAAAAAGTGTTTAAAAGCTTAAAACTTTTCATGCAGGCCCATTCCTCTGGAGAGAAAGGAGTTGCTTTTTCTGGGTATTCCAGGACATGGTCAATTGCCACCAAACTCAGAGCTTGAAGTTCTCTGTAGTATATAGAAAATTCCAGCATGGTCTTCTACTCTGAACTAGGGCTAATCTATTTCCAGATCACCTTCATCTTGGAGCCATAGTCCTTTTTTGGGGACTATGTGTGGACCTCTATTGTGGGGAAGGTCTTCATTTTAGCTTAAGACAATTAACTTTTGGAAAAGTTGACCACTTTCTTGATTGGATTTAAATCCTCTCATACTGAGCAGCTCTTCTCAGATATATCTGGTAAAATCACATTAGAACCAGAAAGCCAGCTCATGCATGAGCTAAAGACGAGGCATTTGGTTATATTCTAGAACTCAGTTGCCCTCCTGTCAGACTGTAAGATTGAAAACTACTTATGAAGAAAGAATTGTCTTGGAACACCCACCACATTCATATTTTATGTATTTCTTACAATGACCCAGAAAGGTAGCACATTAGTTAAATTTTCCAATTCTGTCTTATCTCTGGATTAATGGAATGGGGAGAATGAGATATCGAACATTTCTGCTATATTCCCTAACTACAGCTGAAAATGAAATAGACTACAAGTAACATTCTAGAATAAACTGAAAGTTGTTTGTACCTTGTTAATTCCTAGGTGAAAAAATTTGTGTATCTCTGTGTGGAGCTGCCACAGACATGAATATCAGACTGGACAAGAATTCCTTGATCATCGAGAAGACCTACATTTCTCTGGCCAGTCAGCGGACGATAGCCATTCACAACCGCAGTAACATTATTGCCCATTTCCAGTGGAAAATATTCGCCACCCAAGAAGAGGAGGACAGAGAAAAGTATAGGTTTGTAATAAAAATCACCTATTTGCGGCAATGAGGGGCTGTAAAACTCAGTTTGCTATGGCTTTGGTCCTAAGTTTCTAACCAACTCAATGTGACAGTTTTATAAATTGATTCCAGTGTCTGAAACCTCATTTAAAGAATCTGAGCTGAGCAATGTGGAAGAGCATGTTGCCCATTCTCAGTCTCAACCTGGTTATAATGTAGCAGTAACAGAACTAGATTTTAAAGACCAAATGTATCATTCTACACTATTCTTTCAAAACCACCCTGAGTGTATATTCCTTTTCATAAATCCCCCGAGGGCCACCCACTTTCATAGTTTCTAGAGATAATCTATTTTTGGTTGGCATCAATGTAAATTTCTTCCAGTGAAAAGATATCTCCAGAAAATAGAATGAGGAAAAAGAAGGGCTTAAATATAACAATGTTTATATTCTTGGCCTTAGTAACATTGCTCTATCCCTGCAAACCATATAATTTAATAATGATCGTTGGTGTGTTTAATGTTCTACTTGTAAAAAATAATACCTCAGCCAGTAGAGAAAATTAATAAAATGTAAAACCAAACTGTTTTAACTAATCTCATCACTGTTCAATTTTTAACCTCTTTCCTTACTAAATCCATCTTTGCCTCTTTTAAACTGTATTTTCATTTTTATCTCCTTCCCTGAGTTAATGCTTTTGCTGCTTTTGCATTGGAATTTATTTCTGCCTTTTTTATTTGCCGCTCCATTTTCATTAAAGAGTAGCCCTGGGAAACTTCAAAGCTTTGTCTAACGCCAAGTTGGTGTGGGATAAAAATAAAAGTCTTAGGGCCATGGGAGCCAGGTAGAAATCCTCCATCGCGCTGTCCCTAATTGAATCAGAATAAGCTATGACAATGGCAGGACACAGTGGTCCAGCAGCTTTTTCATTCAGACAATGAACTTTAATCACAGGATCACCACCGTGCTATCTTTGAAACATGAGAAAAGCAAAACCTTTCCTGCTTACAAACTTCATTTGCCCTCATGGTATACAAATGTCAGTGGTAGAAAACTCCAAAGGAAACTGCTCATGCCCTGATTCCTCAGTTGGCAGGTACTAACTGGCAATCAGAATGGCCCAACCTATTTAAAGATAAAGTGAGAGAGTGGGTACAAATCAAGAAGGTGAAAGAACAGTAGAAGTAATTTTTCAATATCATGAATGTCCTCTGGGGAGAGTGAGTGAACATTACATATGTAGGAGGGAAAGCTGGTTTCATCTCAACCATGTCAGTGTTTGACTGTATTTGTAGTATGTGACTGAGGCCATGGCAGTGTCCAAGAAGTATTTAAGGAAGTTCATTTCAACAGTTAAAATAAAAAGGAAGGAAGGAAGAAAAGAAGAAAGGAGAAAAGGAAAGAATGAAAAAGAAAAGAAGAAAGAAAGAAAAGAAAACCAAGTATTATCAGAGACCCTAGAGAATAAGTCAACCACATGTGAATGGCTCCCCGACCCTGCTTCACCTCCCCTGACACTCACACCCCTCTCTTTACTATCATCTTTTACTCTTTTTTTGGTATGGGGGATCGAACTCGGGTCCTTGCACTTGCGAGGCAGGTGACGGAACCACTGGGCTAAATCCCCAGCCCTCATCTTTTACTCTTATTTGGCTTTTCTCTTATATTGTCTTTCCTTTACTATCTCTCTTGCCCTTACTAGCATTTCTTCTGGCACTTTTTGTAACAAGGGGACAGGATAGTACAACATTTTCATAACCATAATTGGAAGCCTAATTTTATCATCTAGATCATGCCCTGCTCTTATACAATGAACTTGAAAAGTGGTTTTAGATACCCAAGTAAGAACATCTTCACTTTCACTGTGGATAATGTATAGCAACATAACCCATGTTTTCCAAAACCAGATTGGCTTATCTAGTTGACTGTGTTGGCTTCTTTTTCTCCTGCCTGCTCCTGAGTGCCAGATGCCTAGGGCAAAGGAGAAACAGAGGCCATCTATATCTGGTTTCTTATTGGACCAAGAGTGGGCTCTTCTCTCTCTTCTTTCTCTTGTTTGAAACATCCCCAAGTATGCCTCAACTTTCATATTGCTTGCCATGGATTCTTGTCTTTGAAGTAAATGCCATGAAATTCCCATCACTTTAAAAAACAAGGAAGCATGGGGCTGTTTGTTCCTACTGGACACTGAGCTCCTGTCTCAGTACAGCTGCCCCCTCCAGCTGGGGTGCTCTTGGGATGAATGCGGGCTTCTTCCTCTTGCTCCATGACACACAGTCTCAGCTTATGCCCCAAGCCACGCATAAGCAGTTGACAAAGTAGAATGTTCTTTGACAGCTTGCTGATGGGTAGAGGTCTGTTCTTCCCCACAGGAAGATCTTTAGCCAATGGGAAGAATGCTTTCTTGGGCTCACAGCAAGGCCCATACAGGTACCCCTGGAATGATCCTATGTATGTGTTTCTCTCGCTCACCATGGGAACAGCTTCTTCACTTTCTCCCCTTACTTCAGCAGCCTCTGTAGCTAAAATGTAGAGAGAAAAGTGGACTTTGGTCCCGAGCTTGGAACAGAGAGAACCCATATTTCCAGAGACTAAAATTTTCCTTTTCAGTACCCCAAGGACCTAAAGAGTTAACTTTAGTGTTATAACTAAACACTGAAGTTATAACTGAACTCCAGTTATAACATGGCAGAGGCCAAAAGGTTCTCGAAGGTCACTTTGAAAATACTAATAGCTTTTTTTTTTAATTAAATTCTTTCATTGGTACATTGTAGGTATACAACACAATTACATTTCTCATTGGGAATTGTACCTTTACATAATGCATCT